TTTTTTTTATTTATTATTCCTTGAATTAACGAGATGAAATATTAATCTCTTAAATATCATTAAAGACTTAAGTTTTAACTATGAATAAATAAATAAAAATAAAATTTTATGAGAAATATTTATAATACGCAATGCATAGTATCAATCAATAAATTAAATATTAATAATTATAAAATATATTATATAATCTACTTAATTTGAAACCTCAATATTTGCAATTTAATTGAAAAGACGTGGAGTTCCCGAACAAGTGGAGCGACAAAAGGTCAGAGTGGCACGTAAGGGGAGGGGGACAATCGCATGGAAATGCATGCACTGAGCTGTCACGTTATCATTGACGCTACCTATCTAATTGTTCCAACAACACAGAAATCGAAAAACATGCCATGCCCGACACTATTCAAGCTCTTTTGTCCGTCCGATTTAACCCACGACTTCGTCTTCCTCCTCATTTCCCCCGTTACTTGTCTGTTTCTTTCCAATTTATTCTTGGGTAAATTATGTGTTTAGTACTTAAATGATCAGTTTTATTTCTTTTTAATATTTAAACTTTTAATTTTTTTTCAAAATATACGTAAAGTTTAATTTGTTTCATTTTAGTACCCGTTAAAAAATTAACATTAAGTTTTGAATTTTTTTGAAAGCTTAAGCACTAAAACAGACCAAAACCAATAGTTGAGGTATTAAACGCATTAAATTTTTAACGGTGGGGTACTAAAATAAAACAAAAACTAAATATTAGACATGCTTGTAAAAAAAGTTAAAAGTTTATACACTAAAACGAATTAAAGACGAGCTCCTTGTTTGCATCAAAGAACTAGTAGGTATTAAGCTTAGAGGGAAAAGAATCAATAGGAATGATAGAGTTAATTCTCACCTTTGTATTACATGGGGGATTGACTAACCGATCTGTTTATTTTTGTATGTAGTATAACAACCCGAATATTTACAAAATAATATTAATTGAAATTGGAGGTAAATTGTGAAAATGGGTGAAATTAAGTGAATAAATTAAAATTTATGAAAACTTGTATGCCATTTTCGAAGTAAAGGAAATTCAAGGACCAAGCCCTGATTTTTCCCTAAAACTATCGGTAGGCTTTGATGATTTAAGCGTGATTTCTGATTTACAATCATAAATCACAAATGCAATTCCTTAAACTTTCTTCCTCTCACACCTCCACTTTCAAGTCCTATTCCGACGTCGTTTGACATCTGATCGTCAAATTGAAACCACCATCGTGTTCATTATCGAGTTAGGAACAATTCCCTTAAATTAATTGAAGCGAAACGCTGCCAAACGCCAGGAATTTCAAGTCAAAGCATCGACGTTTTTTTAGCTCTATCGTAGGGAAAATCTTAAATTCATCGCCGATCGTTGCTCCGTTTACGACACCTCCAGCACCATCGTGTTCCTTGTGTCGTTGCGGGTCCGCCTGTGTCAATCTTGTCCGCCGTCGACGGTGGCGCGTGAGGAGGTGGAGCAGTCAAAGATTCGGTCGATTTGAAATCGAGCTCTCCGCCGTTTAAAAATTTGAACCGGTCGTTGTAAGTATCTCGAAATCACTCAAAATAATTTTTAGAAAATTTTCCGGGATTTTTAGGGCCCCGGAGGACGCCTCACGTTCCACACGCGCCGCCGCAAGGAGAGTGGCTGCTGGAAACCGGTTCTGACCGGTTTCGACCGGTTCGAACCGGTTTGACCGGTCTAACCCGACCCGACCGTTGACCGTTGACCGTTGACTTTCTTTGACCAAAACCTAAAATGGCTTTGACTGAGCATTAAACGACCGTTAATCTTTTTCGAGTATACCTATCCTGATAGTTTTCGACGTGCCGAATCCGTTTCCGCTGTCCGTTTCATCAAATTCGAACCCGAAGGCCTTCAAATTGACGGTCAAAGTGGTTGACTTTGACTTTGACCAAGAATCTGAATTTTCGGAAAGTCATACTTTATGTTTTTCGACGTCCTAATTCTGATTCCGTAATCCGTTTGGCCAAATTCGGACTCGAAATACCCCAAATTGATAGTCAAACCCGAAAAATGCTTAGATACTTAAGAATTCTAGTTTTGAACAATTAAATAAGATTTGGGGCTGATCAATCATTATTGTTTGAAGGTACAAGAGACTCTCCGAATCGTTCGACAGCTCGACCCAGTTCTTTTAGATCAATTAAACCACGTGTGCCAGTATTCACCCGTAATACCGTAAATTTTATGATTTTAGGGATCTATTTATATTACTCATAAGTAATATAGTGTTATTGTTAAATAGGTTCGAAAATTGTAGCAGAGCGTGGTGAAACTAGAAATCAGTAGATTTGCTATTTGAACCTATTATCGAGGCGTGTTCCCTACTTATTACTGAACTGTTTCATTGGTTTTAATATGTGGTACACCGAATTTATTGGTTATTGTTTTATGGATGCACCAATTTAATGTGACAATTTATGGAATATGACTGCTATCTAATTTTTGTTTTGAAATGGTATATGATTACCATGTTTTTGGATTTATGGAATTTATGTCACGGTGCAATTGAATTTTGGAATTGAATTACGATGGAATAGCTCTGATCAAGCTAAATGGGCCTAATGTGACTCTTGAGGTCCCCAAGATGTTTCATTAGGTCGGCTTTCATTTGCTGTGTGCTTAGGGTAAGCTATATGGACTTATTGACTTGGGCTTAAGGATACAAGCTTCATAGCCTATCCTTAAGTCGGCTTTCTTTTTTTCTATGTGCATAAAGTAAACTGTATGGAAAATAATTTTGGGAACTACTGATGGTGTACCAGAAAAGGGTTTAAACTATGATTTTCAAAAGTTAAACTTTTTTACGAATTTGTGAGATTTACTGGACTATGATTTGTACATATTGTGATTTTATGGAAATGTTGGGACACACTGAGCCTAGCTCACCTTTCGAAAATGGTTTCCCCTTTCAGATACTGTTGGTTAGATACCTCGGTTCGAGCACTTGGAGGATCAACATATCTCTTGAAGTAAATCAGATTGTAATGTTTTTTTTATTTTGCAAGTTGACTTTATTTTAGTGACATGGACCTTATTTTAAAATATCGTATTTTATAATGATGACTCTTTTGCTATTACTATTCGGTTTATTGTGATTTTGAATTTGAAAACATGTTTTAAATTAATTTATTACTTATTGGTATTATATTTACGAGTTGGATTTTGATAGTATAATTTGTTTATAATTTCATGTTATTTATAATGTGATTTTATATTGATGGAATAACGGTTTCGAAAATGTCTTTAATAATCATAATGTGATCCACTAGACTTAGTCGAAACGCATAGGCCGGGTCAAGGGGGTTACATGTAGAATGTATATATTGTATTGAGATCGATATTTTTTTGTAGCAGACCCTACTTCCTTGGGTAATAAAGATGAATTATCCAAAAAAACGAATTAAAATTGACAGTTTAGATACCAAATAAATAATTGACCCTTTATTCTTTTATAGTATACTAAAACCATTTTACATGTTAGGGTTGCCTTGCAAAAGAGTCTTCGAATAAGTTTCTCAACGAGTTTTCTTAACGCAAAAATAATATAATTAAATCATTTATTATACAGGGTATCAAATTGACATAAATTTTGACAGGTAATGTCTCATTTTTATTTATAATAATAATATAATTATAAGTTTTTTTAAATAATTTAGTTCGAGTTAAATTGAAATCTATAAAATGACTAAAATCATTTTGAATTTATAATAATTTTTTTAATTCGATCTAAGATAATAATATAATATAATTATATATTTGTATAGATAATTGATATAAGATATGTTTATCTACAATTTTTTAGTTAACCCTATATTTTTCCAAATAAAAATAATATTTTGTAATATTTGAGTTGGATTTACGATTTGAGTGGAGGAGATATAAATGATTCTTAAGTTATATCGATTAAAAACTTGATACCACTCGACCTGTTGCCACCCTTGGACAGGACATTAAATTAGGCATGTAAACGAAACGAACGCACACGAACGGATGTATGTTCATGTTCGTTCATTTAATAAATAAACGAACATAAACGAAAACGAACATAAACGAACAAATTTTTTTGTTCATGTTCGTTCATTAATGAATATAGTTTATTCATGTTCGTTCATTTAAATAATAAACGAACACGAACGAACGAACATAAACGAACACAACAAACGAACAACAAAAACACAAAAGAACTTATTCGAACACAACAAACGAATATAAAAAAAAGTAAACAACAAGAATAACAACTTAAAATTAATTAATATAACATGTAACTTTATAGTTAATTTATTAGAATACGACAAAAACATACATAAATCATAAATAAGCTATATGAACATAATAAAGTCTTAAAGTTAATTTGTTCAACAAAACAATCTTTTTGAAATCCAAACAACTTCAATAATCTTCGTTACATATTCAACTTGCCCTCTGTGTCGAACATAAATGAACCAACATAAACGAACATATAATTGAACGTTCACGAACGTAAATGAACGAACAAGCCCTTTATTCATGTTCGTTCATTTAATTAAACGAACACAAAATCTTGTTCATGTTCGTTCATTTAATAAATAAACGAACATAAACGAACTTCCTGCCGCACGGTTTATGAACGGTTCGCTGAACGATCAGTTCATTTACATGCCTACATTAAATCTCTTAGAATGTTCAATTTTTTAATAGTTACATTGTGACTGGATTATATTAAATTAGGAGGATCGTGTTCATAATAAATTTTTATAGTACTCGATCTAGAATAATCGATCAACGAAACATATACAGTTGGTTATAAAAAAATAAATTTTAAGTATTTTATAAATTTATATTCTGATATTATAAGTTTAATTTCATATAAAATAAATTATGTAATATATAAAAATAAAAATAAATATTGTAAACGGGCTAATATTGGGCTTAGCTTATAGTTAAAATTCACATCCCCCAAACAGTACCTTTCCCGCCGCGCGAACGCAATACCAATTGGCGCGAAAATTGGTGCAAGCTCAAAATCCCCAAATTGCAACCTTTTAGGGTTTTTATTTTATGTTCACTTCCTTCAATTTCACAATCGACAATCGTTTTGACAATGTCGAATATCAGCGGTCAGATGGAAGAAATCAAGGCCTTAATATCATCTGATTCAAAAGCAAACCGATCGTTCGGTTATTCAACTTTTTTGCACTTCCAAGAACAGTCCAGTGACAGTCCTCCTTCAATCCAAGCCCTAATTCAAAGTTCTCGTTGTCTTCTAAATTTAATCGACTCTGATATCCACCATGAAGACGAAGAAATGTAAAAATTGATCACAATTTTCCTTTCAAGTTGATTTTTTTATTTTATTTGCTTTTATGCATTTTTTTGTTTGACTGCAGAGCTGCTCAAGCCTTGAAGTGCTTGGGATATATGATCTATCACCCTTCCCTTATCGCTGCAATTCCTGGTAATTGTTTTTAACTTTTATTTTTAAATGATTTGAAGTTTTAATTTATTGTTGATTTCTTTTGTTTTTGGCGCTGTTCTTGACTTCTTGCTGTAGCTGAAGATGTAAAGCTGCTTTTAGAGTCATTGGCTAAACTCATCACCGTTACAAAAATGAAGGTAAAATAAATTTTTATTAGAACAACGTTAGGTTCCTTTTTTTTTCTTCTCCCCTTAAACTCTTTTGTCACTTTTTGTTAGTGACTTTGAACTTGTTCATCTCTTAATGGCAGTCAGTTTGTAATTTAGGCGTGTGGTGTATATCTATGCAACAATTTGATACACCACTTTTAGCTGCTTGCTTTGATACATTGCTGCCGGCGGTTGTTCATGCCCTTGATAATCCTAGTGGCTCATTGTCAACAACGTTTGAGGCCATGCAGGTATAGTTATTTATTTGGTGGTTTGATAATCAAGTTCAGTGGTTCGCCATTGCCTCTATGCGGGGTTTTCATATTGCATTGAATTATTAGCAAATTTAATCAAGAGACTCATTTACTTTTCATTGTTTTAATATCACGGATTTGTTGGTAGTCTCTCCTTCATAGAATGTACTAAAATGATCTATGATATTTGTTGTGGTGAAAGATGTGGTGTTAAGTGTTAACTCTGAGTTTGTTGTATGTACTAATTATTTATGTTACCTGTCTTAGGCTGTGGCAAAGTTAACAGCCCAAATGAGTGAAATGATGCGAGAATCAGCACACTTATGGGCTCCTCCAATATATAGAAGACTTCTCAGCATTGATAAGAGAGAGCGAGATATGTCAGAGAGGTGTCTTTTGAAAATTAAGTCTACAATACTTCCTGCTCCAATAAGTCTTTCAAAGGTACATGTAACTGGTATTGTGCTCTTGACATTTTTACTGCATTTCTCCCCTTTCCTTTTTAAATGTTTCCCTATTTATTCAAAGAGTGCATATAACTTGCTGTGCGTGATGCACGAAAAGTTTTACCCATATATATCTTGGTATGTTTTTTCCCTCAGACTTATTAATAGGTTAGACTAATTGCATGCTTCAGGTTTATTATTATTTTGTTTTCTTATCATGACCCGTTTCTATTTTCCAAAGTGAATACAGAGTGTGCTTTTATGATAGGGTACATGTAACTGGTATTGTGCTCTTGACATTTTTACTGCATTTCTCCCCTTTCCTTTTTAAATGTTTCCCTATTTATTCAAAGAGTGCATATAACTTGCTGTGCGTGATGGCACGAAAAGTTTTACCCATATATATCTTGGTATGTTTTTTTCCCTCAGACTTATTAACATAGGTTAGACTAATTGCATGCTTCAGGTTTATTATTATTTTTGTTTTCTTTATCATGACCCGTTTCTATTTTCCAAAGTGAATACATGGAGTGTGCTTTTATGATAGAAACTGCACTTTAGTTTGCACTTAAACTGCATTTTGCAAGGGCAAACACAAATCTGTTTGTTAAGCTCCTCAGAATTTAATCACTTTCCTCCAGTTTCATAATATAATATCATAAAGCTTATCTCAAGGTGGTTTGCAATATTGCTTGATTAATTCTATAATCTCAGATCACTCGTGCTTCATCTTTCTCAAACAGGCTATTATTGAAGACATGAGGAAAAATTTGCTGATGGGGATGAAGGACTTGTTAGACAAGGGTATGAAAGTTCAAACTGTCCAGGCATGGGGGTGGTTTATCAGCTTCCTAGGATCTGGTGCCTTGAAGAACAGACATCTAGTAAATGATATGTTGAAGGTTCTTGAGCAAACATTTTCAGATCACAACCCACAAGTCCAGATTGCTTCTCTGGTATTACTGATAAAATTTTAGTTTATTTTTTTTCTTTGGAAAACATTTTATTCAATAAATAGGGGAGTACAAAAGCAGAACAAGAAATTCTATTCAGCCAAATGAATTATCCTATCTATTTGACAATCTCTTGTACAAAGCCATATAATTCAAATAAGAACGCATGTCTTTTCTTGGTTTGTTGTTTCACAAGTCAGCTTTGCTATCATATGATATAGACAGATACAAATTCCTTCATGGATAATTAAATAAGAAAAATCTTGGACATAGTTCATCTAGAGATCAGGAAGGTCTAACTACAGGATCCAACAACTAAACAATACATGCACAGAAAATTGTTTAGCATAACCCTATATGTTGGCTCCTCTGTGACAAACAGCTTTATTTATTATCTTTTTACTGATGGCTTTTAATAATTTGTTTTGGAAGTATACATAGCTTGTTGAACATCTTCCTTAAAATGGTTGTCTTAATTTTGCAGGTTGCCTGGCAAGGTCTTATTGATGCCCTGGTTCACCCTCAAATACTGTCCTGCAAAAGGAATGCAAGTCAACGGTTACAAACATCCTCAGGAAAAAGCAGTGAATTGATGTTAAATGGATTTTCAAAAAGCTTAAAGCTCACAATGATACCTCTAATAGGAATCATTTCAAGTAAATGTGATATATCTGTTCTCTCATCCTGCCTAAACACATGGTGTTATCTCCTACATAAGCTTGATACATCCATCAACTCTCCATCAGTAATTAAAGTGGTATTGGATCCTATGTTTCAAGAAATTTTAAAGATGGGCCCAGATAGTAAAAGTATCCAGCTATGGAATTTTTGCCTTGATTTGCTTGAAGATTGTATATCAGCGAAGTGTTCAGATTTGATCTCTGATCCAAAGGACCAGGTAAACCTTCGTCTTTCTGCTAGAATCATAATTCCCGGGTTTGGAAGGTACTCATGGAAGCAATATCCTATTAAATGGTTGCCTTGGGATCTTAATCAGTTGGACTTCCACCTAAAGATGATTGCTATTATCATTACTCATGTGGCAACAGCAACAGTTTCCCCAGAATGCAAAAAAACGGCACGTGATGCAGCTGTCAGGATATTTAGATCTGTTTTAAAGGGAGTGCAAATGGAGTTTAGAAACCCATTAAATAATTATGATAACATTATGTTCTGTTTGAATAGAATATTTAGTTTCACAAAGAAAGTAGGTGAAGATGCTAGTTCAGAAGGTGTTGGTGATTTGTTTAATACTTCCCTTTCTTTAATAGAGGCTGCTGTGGATGAGTTAGAACCTTCTATTATGGAATCCCCTCTATACAAGGTGGCTTTAGACATCAATTATGTTGGCACTCTGGATTCAGTTAACCGTTCAAAAGTACCGCACCAGTGTTCTTTTATGGATATGGTTTCACCCATGGTTTATCTAACTGTACTCTACCTCACTTTGGTGGTTCAGTTAGCTATAAATACACCTGAGATGGAATTGATTTTACAGAGGCTTCAAAGTTTTTATAAATCTGTACTGTCTTTTGATGATCCCCTGGAAAGTTTTCTTGCTTCTGTTGGTTTATTATATGGGCACATGGGTTTTAAGTACATGGAGATATGTATGGCGATGGTGACATGTCTTAATGACTATATTAATGGTATGGAGGATCTCTCCCTGTTCAAAACAGATTCTGACAATGCATTTTATAGGGCCATCTGCCATCTCTTATCATATCCATTCATTTTGTTCTCTTGTTCTGAGAAAGATTTAGCCCTGTTGAACTCTGGTGACGCCCTGAAAGAATCTTTTGTTTTATCAGAGAGAAAACTTGAACAGGCTATTGAGATTTGGAAATCATTATATGTTTCTGTTTGTGCTGCGTTCTTTAAGTTATCCGCTACAAACACTCTTGGCGGTGATCTGTGTGCAATGTTAAATTCGTGTTTGGATGAAAATGGCAGCATATTTCGGTATAATAGCGAGCTTGGTTTATGTTACAAGGATCTGGAATTCTCTTGCATTTCTTTCACTGGCAACGTTTTGGTATGTATCTTGGAACAGAAACTGACTTCAGATACAGGCGAAAGTGGAAAAGAATGTGGTGTCTGTAATGAGTCCAGTGGCATTATCAATATTTTAGAATTTTCTTCCAGGTAAATTAAAACATTTAATACACTCATGTTCCTAAAGCCATCTTTAACCTACATGAGGCTCATATTCTGATGTCATTCGTAGTTGATTTGCTCAGAAATTGTGCTGGTCTTGAAAAAGCCCTTTTGGGAGTTTCTGTCTCATCACGATTTCTAGCCTGTTTTGCCTTTTCAAATTAAGAGTGCATCATTTTTATGGATGAAATGTTCAATATTTAGCTACTTACATAGCTGTCCTAAGCATGGAGAAGTTTCATCTGTAGGGTAACTAAAATCAGAAAGGTCTAATAATCCAACTGAACCATGATCTACACAAGAATTTAGATATGTAGTTTATCTGATATCTATCTGTGACAGCAAAAATCAAAATTGTGCTTGTTTATTCTTTAACCAAGAATGCATATTTTTCTTGTAAACTATTACCGACTAGGGTGCTTAATATTCCCCCCCCCCAATCTTATAATCTGTTGTTTCTTTGTCGCTTAATATCCTGCAGAGTCATGAAATTCTTGTACATAAACATGGCAAAGGAACCAGCGTTGGGGATTGTGAATTCAAGGTAAATATTCCTCTTGCTTATTTATGCTTCATGTTGAGATTTTTCCTTTACAAATTGTATACATGTTTATATTTCTCGTGTGGGTGGGTTTCAGGGTATTCTCTGCATTGACTCGCTTCATTTGTCGCCTTCACTCGAAGCAAGATATTCTTTCATTTTTTGAGGTCTGTATTTTGCTCTGTGTTTATCATTTAGCAGTAGCATGATGAGGAAAAACTTCATTTACGCTCTTGCATCTGATTTATACTCCCGATATATAGCTGATCAATACATTTGATCAAGTACATTAGTTAAATCGATGTAAGCTTTTTAATTCTGAAATTGAGCAGGTGTTATTTTCTTTCAAACAAAATTTGATGGAACCGTGAATGAGAACATTTCAACTATACTGCTTTAACTTTTCATTTTTCTTGCAACATCCAATGCATATTCGGAATGAAAAATGATGGTTTAAAGCCCTGGTTTTAAATGCCCGTGTTGGACACATTTATATTTGTCACTCACCCGAATCCGATTAACATGTTAATTTCAGAATGAAAAATGATGGTTTAAATCCCTGGTTTTACATCGAAGCTCTCTTGGATCGAGGGAAATTTTACTTTTTCTGACTCTCTTCTTCCCTTCCTTGGCATCACTTTGATTTCTAAATATGTTTTATGGAATTTGCATTTAGTTGTTTTAGCATTGGCTGGTTCTTATACTGCAGATAATATCCGGTTCACTGCTTCAATGGTTATCACATCAAGATATAAAGGATGAACATGTCAAGGATCAACTGGGAATCCTCTGGGCTGAGATCCTCGATTCTATACGGAGGAGTCAGCCTCTGCTAACATTCGATTCTTCTTTCCTCAAACTTCAAGCACCGCTCCTCGAGAAAACGCTGGATCATCGGAATACCTCCATTTCTGATGAGACCATTATCTTTTGGAACTCCACATATGGCAAGCAAACCAACTTGGAGTATCCCCAAAATCTGCTTCATGTTCTACACAAGTTGTCAAGAATCGGAAGAATAAGCCTCTACAATAGAAGTAAATCACTTGTAGCAAGATGCTCCACACTAGAAAACGACACCGGCACTTCCGCTGCCTCCGCCCCACGGTGTTGCAAGATCACTGCAACACAGAACAGGAGCTCGAAGCGAGTAGAGTTGACGGAGGAGGGTATGATTGCTGCAGTTAACCAAAAGGATAAGCCACCATTGAATTCGAAACGAAAAAGAGTGGAACTAACAGAGCATCAAAAAGAAGTAAGACGAGCACAGCAAGGAAGGGAGAGGGACTGCAATGGACATGGTCCCGGGATCCGAACTTATACTGGTCTCGACTTTTCGCAGGGAAACGAGGACTCGCAAGACAGTCAGGATATTCGGAAACCATGATGGAGATGTTGAGAAGATGGGCGCAATTGAATTGTAGTAACATCAATTTATCGATAATGATGTTTGTTTATGTTCATATATACATTAGAATTTGTGTTTGGATATAAATCCAAATAAATTTACTGTACGTATCATTTAGATAAGAGAAAATAATCTCAGTGACTAAAAATGCCTTCGACACGTGTAGAAGATAAACCATGATGGAGATGTTCATATAACTTCATGGTCGTGGTCGTGGTAATACGTGTCTTCGACACGTCCGCGCGAATAATATCTTTTTAGAGAAAATTCTTAAGAAACAAATGTAATACCATCAGTCGTTGCGATTTACATATTCGCATTGCGATAGTCGAAGTTCGCGTTGCGAATCTGAAAACTGATTTGCGATACCGGAGATCGCGTTACGAATTATCGATCGCATTGCGATTTAGTTGGTCATTTTGGCAAATCCAAAAAAAGTTGATTAAAATCGTATACTATAAGGCATTTTTTGTCAATGAAATTATTTTCTCTTTAGATAAAACAACATTCTCTCGATTACTAAGTCTCGCTCATTAAATTCAAAAAATATTTATTTTTCTAAATCTAATGAAAAAAAAAAGGAAATAAAAAATCTTATCTCTGTTTTCCCTCCCTATAAAAAGTTTCAAAATCTATTTGTGATATGATTTATTTATTTTTATAATAATCCTTAAACTAATCAAAAACTGTATGCAATAAATGTGATTAACAAACTTAACGAAGTGAGTAATAAAAATACTTCATAATTTTTCATGCAACACCAAACTATTGTCAGTTTAATCATTTTAGAATTAAAAAAAAACTTTTCTCAAATTCGGTCGCCTAGATTTTAATATTTGTTATTTCTTTTCCAATTATCTTAATAATCCAATGTGGACTTCCGTAAGTCGAATTACTATTTTGGGTAAATTACGTGTTTAATACTTAAATTATTAGTTTTGGTCAGTTTTAGTACCTATGCTTTCAATTTTTTTCAAAACCATATCAAAAGTTTAATTTTTGTTTCATTTTAGTAGCCGTCGTTAAGAACTCTAGTTTTTGTTTCATTTTAGTATCCTGCTCAAAATTTAACGTTAAATTTTGAAAAAATTGAAAGTTTAGGTTCTAAAACGGATCAAAACTGATAGTTTAAGTACTAAACGCATCAAGTTTTTAACGGTGGGTAGTAAGGTGAAATGAAAACTAAATGTTCGGTATGATTTTGAAAAAATTGAAAGCTTAGATATTAAAACATACTAAAATTGATAGTTTAGGTACTAAATGCATAATTTATCCTACCATTTTATACATTTACCTTCATGGTGCGTTTGGTTCACGGAATGTAAGATTACCAGTGTGAATAAAAGATTACTAGGGAATAGGATTACTGGGAATGTTGTATTTTGTGTTTGGTTGGTTTAGCAGGAATGTAAGATTACCGTGTTTGGTTAAAAGAATAAAATATTATTAGAATGTATATTTGACCAAATTGTCCTTATTATATATTTGTATAATATTACAAATTGTAAAATATTTATATATTTTCTTTAAAAAATTAAATTCATAATATTTATATATTTTTTTTACAAAATTAAAAATATAAAAAATGGTTAATGAAAGGGTAAATTTTTTTAACCCCTGAACTTCATATAAAATTTTAATTATAGATTTTTTTTTGTAAATCTAAAATAATTTAAGGATAAATTTGTAATTTAACATTCGTAAAAATTTTATTATTTAATGATAGAAGAATGATATTTTTGAAAAAAAAATAAAAATTTAAGGGTATTTTAGTCCAAAATGCCGGTAATGTTATAATACCTAAGAGAATGGAAGTAATGACATTCCCGGTAACATACCTAAAAAATCTACTATTGGTAATAAAATATTACCCGGGAATGAGATTCCCAACCAACCAAATATGAAAATGTAAGATTCTCATCCTATGAGAATCACACAATCCTTGAACCAAACACCACCATCATATTTTAGAAAATGTGCTTACTGCCAGTTGCTTCACTGTAGTGGATTTGACATCTATTATGATTTTGCCCTTTCTGCTGGCGCGGTCTTAAGTTTTTTATTATTATTGGCAAATGGATGATTCAACGGCTTCTTTTTAATGTTGCAATGACGGATAACTTGTTTAGGTAATTAAAAAAATCGTTATTGTTGTTAGAAGTAATGAGTTCGAGCATCAACGATTATTGTCAAATGGTTCAACGTATTTAAAATAGATATTATTTTATAATCACTTTAATAAAAAAAATGTTTCAATGGCAAGAGTTTCTTCGTGATTGTGAACTTAACAGATGCTATCATAATAATTACGAGAATCGTAATTATAATTACAGTCGCGAACCGCTATTTAAATTCCTTTGAGATCTTGTTTGCAAGGTGATAGGCATTAGAAAGCCCACCTGATTGAAGATCTCTTCAGTTTCTCTTATTTTTAGCCATTTTTTTCCTCATTACAAGTAAGAAATGGGCAGTATCAAACTCTCTACTTCTCAATATTTGAGTATTCAACAATAGACATGGACCATAACAGAGTCATGCATACTGGCAACACAAACTGCATGTTTTGTATAAACGACTTTCTTTTTTCCTTTGGTTGGCTCAGAAGAGTTTCGAGGAGCTTGCTCGTGCAACTGGGGAACAGGCGGAGTCCGGTAGCCATGTTGGAAATGTTTTCGTCACCGGATATTGGTGGACAGAACTTATGAAGGTCTGCAGGTCTTACATCAGCAAATGATCTTTCCAGGACCGTAATGGATAGATCTACCTCCGGTATTGATCCGAAGCTCGAGTTGCAACTTTACAAGGTTCGATTTCTGCTTCTAACTAGAAATGTAAATCTTGCAAAGCGTGAAGTCAAGCATGCCATGAATGCTGCTCGAGGGAGAGATTCATCTGTGGCGCTCCTATTGAAGGCCCGGCTTGAGTATGCTCGTGGACACCATAAAAAAGCCATCAAGTTGCTGATGGTATCAAGTAACCGGACAGATGCAGCGACGTCGAGCATATTTTACGAAAATCTTTCTTGGCTGCAATCACTATCAACTTGGGAAGTATAATACCTCTTCAGTGTTCTTTTCCAAGGCGCTTAGTACTTGTTCATACCTTCTGAAGGAGAAGCCTCCAAAACTATTAACATTCTCACAGGATAAATCTCCCCAGATAATTGCACTACCTGGCCTGTGGCAAACCCGGGGAAATAACGTCGAATCGCCATTCGGTCAAGAGGACCGTGAGCAATGGCGAATGGAGAAACCTGTCGATTGTGAAGAACCAAACGCAGGAGCTGCCGGGAACCCTTCCCCTTAGGGCTCACAGGAATCCATGTTTCTTAAGCCAGAAAAGGCACGCAGAATGCTTTACTCGAATCTTGCCGCCTTGTACGCCATACAAGGCGAATTCGATTGCGCCCACCAGTTCGCCGCACAAGCATTGTCCCTGGTATCCAGCACTAGTGAAGCCACCGTGACTTCGATTTACATCGATCTCGTGCTCGTTAAGTCGCAGGAAGCTCTGTCCAAGTTAGAACATTGTAGGTCAGCAATTGCTAGTTAGCAGGTAGGCCAGCAATCGTTTCAGAGGATTTGTATCATATAGCATAGTTCAGTTTAACGGGTGGTCGGTTGAACCGGCAATGACGGAACCGATGAGGAGGTAAGTTTAGCTACGGCGATGTAACGTCTCAATAATCGAGTAGAATTCTCGGTATGAATTCATTTCACGTCAATGGATTAGATATAAACCCTAATGAAATCATAAAATGAGATTAACAAATATATTTGAGTGAAGAAAGCTCTTCTTCAACTTGCCTCAATTCACTAACGAATGAAACAATTAAGAAAAAGAATACATAAATTTCAAGTACAGTTCTTCGAATATATTGCATGAAGCTGCTATGAATGAAGATCATTCAACAGCTATGGCGATCGAGCCAGTCCGGGAATACAAGAGAAGCGCCATAATGAGCCAATGCACCCATCACTACCAGGATGTGGAATATTTGGTGGCTGTGGCCGGCTAAGTCGAACCATCCCGGCTTGAACCGCTCCGGGATTCGGCTAATGTAGAACAGGGTCCCCGTCAAATAGAACATAGCCATGGCCAGCTCGTAAGCCAGCGTGACATTGCTGCGCGGGTTAGACCAGTTGACGACGGCGGCGTGGATACCGGGGATAATGCCAAAGAGTGCCATGGAAGAAAAGAGTAGAGCTCGGAACCCTCGGAATTTCTTGGTCGACAAGGCCGGCGATAGCAGCGTCGCGATGGTGAACAAGCCTAGAACTGTGATCCCACCGAGGTAGACGAAGTGCCACTGCGGATCGCATTGAAAAATGTAATAGATCGGCGGGAAGAATGATGTGATGATCATGGCGGTGATCCCGGCATAGTCGAGCCGCAACAACGACAAGTTGAGATGGTGAGAGTGGCAAGAAAAAAGGTGGCAAATGGTGCTCGAAAGGAGGCAAAACATGGAGCCGGCTAAGAATACGTAGAACGGCCACCGCGTTACGCGCGTAACGTCTGATTCCGATTCCGGCTTCAAATCGATGAGATTATTTGATGTTGTTCTCTGCAATTATCACAACAAATATAATCAATGAATAAATGGCACTCACCATAAAGAGGTCTTGAGGATCATGAGAAACATTGAGGTCGCCACTCATAGGAAAATAACTGCGATATCAATTCAATAACATAAATTCTTGGCACATTGAAATTGGCATGCATGCACGCATACATACATACATATTAATGACTTATAAAAATTTATAGGATATATTATGTGTTTATTACCTAAATTATTAATTTTGATTCGTTTTAATACCTAAACTTCTAATTTTTTTCAAAACCAACCTGGTAAAGAATGCAATGAGATCCGACACTTGAGGGACTTCAATCAAGTGTGTCATTGTTAATCCCATAAATAGAACAAACCCTATTAAATGTCCGAAGAGTTCATAACAAAAACCAAAATCAAATTAGAATAAAAAAAGGAGTAAATTACGCATTTAGTATGTAAATTATCAGTTTAGATATTAAAACATACTAAAATTAATCATTTAGACACTAAATGTGTAGTTTAACCAAAAAAACTCAAAACCAGAAAAAATATGAAACTAAGGGCTTCAACTCACGTCCAAACATTAAGTGTTTCGTTATGCCAACGAAAGATGCTAAAGAGTGCTCCTTTGAGAGGCCAATTAGCCCTATAATAACTCAGAATAAACTCATTGTCCTTCATGTACTCCGGCAATTCCTTATACGACACCAAAGCACACGGCGTCGACGGCGGCAACCGTACTATTTTCTTCCATTTTTTCATCTTGACAGGCTCCGAAGCAGGCTTGGAATCAAGGGTCGGATCCATTTTTTTTCTTTCTTCCAAACAACAACAGCTAACAGCTAGAAGATGATGACGATGATGATCTAAAAGAGTACAAAAAGTAATTATGAGCAAAAAAAAAACCTAGAGAGAGAGAGAGAGATTTTTTTATGAAGGAGAGAAAAGTTGAATGAAGAAGAAAGCAATTGGCTTTGTGTAGGCGTAGTTTGGAGGATGGCAGATAGCTTAACTTAACTACACCAACTGTAACATTTAAGGAGGGGAGAGAAAACAATTATCATGTTCAACACACTCAAAAGCTTATCTATAACTTCTTTCATTTACTTATTCAATGCGTGAATCTAAAATTTTATGTAAGGTTGAACTTAAATTCATAAAATTTTATAGTGTGAATTTGAACTTATAAAATTTTAAGCGAATAAACTTAAATTTATAAAATTCTAGAATGATGAAAATAAATTTTTTATTAATTAATTTTTAAGGGGAAAAATAATTTTTTTTATTTTTAGTAAATAATAATTTTAATTTTTTAATAGATAATAAATTAGTCTGACAAAGTTTATATCATGTCTTTAATAACTCAAAATCAGTAATTTTATTCATAAGATTCTTAAATCACATAATTTTTTAAATATTATCTTTTTGGGTGAAGTATACAAATGATTTCCGCCTATGGGATGTTGTTTTATTAAGTACAATTACTATTAAAAGCTAAAAAATAGTACTTTAACTATAAGAAACTATTTTATTAAATTCATCGACTATTAAAAGTTATAAAATATTCACCTAATTATTTAATATGTTCTAAACTCATATTTTTCAGTTAAAAATTTGGCGAAGAAAAAAAAATGGATAGTCAAGTGATCATCTTGTAACTTTTAATAGTCGAATGACTCAACAAAGCAATCCTCTATAGTCGAGGAATTACTTTGTAGTTTTTAATAATCAAGAGACTCAATAAAATAATATCTTATAATCGAGAGATCATTTGTGTACTTTACTCTAATTTTCTCATATACTTAAATATAATCTTTTTAAACATACTCATTGAGTGATCGAATATAAGATTTGTCTTTTGACGTGTGCTCATGCTACAAATACATATCTTCAACATATATTGAACGTTTATTTTTTTTTGAAAAAAAATTCATACAATTTTTTAAAGTTGGATAAACTTTCTAATATATATATATATATAAGCAAAGAATGAATTTTAAAAATAAATAAGTATAAAATGTGAACTTATTTTATTATTAGGGAAAGAATATATTTTTATATTGGGTAAACTATACGGGTTACCACCGAACTATGATCATTAACCATTTTGACCATCAATATTTGAAAACGATCAAACATACCATCCAACCTAACTATTTAAATGATTCATTTAAGCCACTGATAGTTAATTTTTAACAGAGGTGGTGATGTGACAATTAGTCAAATAGTTTAGCCAACTATTTTAATTCAATTCAAAGGTAACACATGTCTATATATGATTGGAGGGTACTCGTGGAAAAAAATGTATAATTGGATCACTTGTTTTGATATTAAGCCTTATAAAATAGAAATATGATAACTTAAAAAGTATTGAAAACCATAAAAATGATATAAACTTAACAAACATAAATGGAGTAATCTTTAAATATATAAAACCATACAAATTATTAAAAACCCGTCAAATATTAATAAAAATAACATAAAACTATGAAAATTCATAAAATGTCATTATTATCATAAAATTCATTAGTTCTCACAAAAAATTATAAAATATAAAAATGATATAAACTTAACAAATATACATGGAGTAATCTTTGAAAATATAAAACCATAAAAATTATAATAAAAAATCAGATATTAATAAAATAATATAAAATTACGAAAATTGATAAAATATCATTAGTTCTCACAAAAATTATAAAATATAAAAAAATCATTTCATTTTTCTCATGAAATGTTTTGGTGGCAATAGTAGTTTTCAAACCAGATAACTATCATAAATTGGCTCAAGTAAACCAGAAATTCCATCCATAATATAAAAAGCAAGTGAAAGATATATTCTTCGAAAACAGATTCATACTAAGGTAACGAAAAATTCAAGGCTATTCAACACAAAGAGTAAATGAACCTAACAGTTGAGGACTTCTCAATGTCCAAAACACAATATCATTTTCTCCTTACATTCCGGTGAAGGCTTTCTTCCCACCGCCGGAAGATCCGGCCGGAATCACCTTCAAAACATTGAACCTGACGGTCTTCGACAATGGCCTGAAATTATGAGACAACACAAACAAATTACAAACAACCGAAATTGCTGAAACAGTAAGAGATTAGATTCAAATACAAATTTAATAAAAATCCTTCTGTGTAGAAATTTAACCTGCATTGCCCGATAATGACGTGATCCCCTTCCTTCACACGGAAGCAAGGAGAAATGTGTGCCGGGATATTCGAGTGGCGCTTCTCATACCTGGAAAACCCGAAAACTTTCTTCAAAAAAGATTTTAAAAACATGGTACAGATCAGAGAGATGGAGTTGGATCATGCCTTTGGTATTTCTTGATGAAATGAAGGTAATTCCGTCGAACAATGATTGTTCTCACCATCTTAGCACTATGGCAAGTACCAGCTAAGATGCGACCCCTGATGGAAACGGTGCCGGTAAACGGGCATTTCTTGTCGATGTAGGTTCCTTTAGCAAACAAATATGCAAAACATTATCAAATAACAACTAACAACCATAATCTGGGCATCAACTGAATTTCTAAAAGCATAGAAACATGTTATACAAACATACACACATATACAGGGAGGGAACTACGCAGTACTCAGAAGGTACTCCCATTTTTGTCAAATAGCATTTTAGGTCCCTAGTACTTTAATTATTGATTAAACTAAGCCCTGTCCCCCTCTAATTTTTGGGTTGAAATCTTTAAAAGGTCTATGTTCGTTTGAAATTAAGCAAGTTGGTCCCTCCCAATGTTTAATCCTAATTCGTCCGTATATACCCTCCCTACATCGGATGCTAGGCGTCAATCAAGTAAATCATAGTGAAATACATTCCCAGGTGTATTGAATTAAGCTCTAAACTGCAAGAAACAATGAATTTCTTGTACAAGAACTGACCATCCATGGTTCCAACAATATATACACATAAATCTGCACAATCATAAAGAAAATGAAACTAGAAAAAGAAATACCTTCAATAGCTTCACGAGGAGTCTTGAATCCCAAACCAATACTCTTCCAATACCTGTTCCCTCCCTTACCAGGTCTTTTACCTTTACCAGATTTCTTGGAGCTGAAAACGATAAAATCCGAATCAGAAATATAAGTAAAAAAAACTGTTTCAACGTTTTCAGTTTTGAGATTACCTTAGGAACACTTTTGGCTGCTTAAGGTACGCTCTTTCAGTCTGAAACAAACAATAAAGAATAAAAAACTTCAGAAACATGAGAGGAAAAGAAATGGGAGTAAATGAAGGGTATCATTGATCTGAGAGACGAACCTGCTCGGCCATGGTTGACGAATTCTCTCTCTCTCTCTCTCTCTCTCTCTCTCTCTCTCTCTCCCCCCCCCCCCAATGTGGCACGGCTGCAGGCGAAGACGGTGAAAATGGGAGGGTCGGGATGAGAAACCCTAAATATCTAATTGGTTGCCATTCATGAGCATCGGCTTACAAAATTGGGTCTTCAAGATATTCGGTCCAAAACTAAACCCACTATAAGGAAGAGTAGGAATTTATTATGGGCAAAATTGATCCTGATAGGTCAGTCGGATAAAAAAAAACTACCGTATTAGGCATCTTTAAAATTAATTTGGGATATACGAAGATGCTACAGTATAAGATAAGCTCGTCACGTTCACATTACGAATTTATTTAAATAATATTTTTATTTAAACTCGTTACGTTAAAATGACGAATTATAATAAAATATATTTTTATTAAATTTTGTCATGTCAGATAGATAAATTCTAATAAAAAATATAGTATATCAGAACTCATCATGTTCATATGATGAGTTCCAAATCTATAACAAATGTCGTAATTTAAAAAATAAAATATCTAATATTTTATTTGGGATAAATAATTAACCTGCATGCAGTATTGGCTAAAATTGCCGTTTATTGTGGTTATGTATATGGTTATCCGTTTAAGCTTAAAAGTTTTATAAAATAATATTTAAGGTTATCGAAAATTATTATTACTTTAAAGTTGCAGAAGATTATTTATAATCAAAATAATATATTTTATAATAATATATTATAATTTAAACTTTTAAACTAATATATTTTATAATTATTTTTATATTTTTAATATTTAAACAATATATTTAATAATATAAAAATATTAAATATAATATATATATATATATATATATATATATATATATGAGTAAAAATTAATCGGGTTAAACCAGATCATTTTTTTCACCTTAAACCCGACCATGCCCACCCAAAATTTTATATCATATAACCCATCCCGTCCCGCTCCCAGCCACAAAATTTTTTTTAAAAAGAAGTCCCTATAAAGTCAAGTTCGAATATTTTGATCGTCCCTAATTACAAATGATTCTTTTTAAACTAATCAATTTTTTTAGTGTTTTATAATATATAATGATTATTTTGTAATAGATTAATAAGTTTTATTATTAATTCATAACTTTAATGAATAGCATAAAGTACATAATAAGTAATGAGAACCAAATGAATAATTATACAAATTTATTTAAATATGATGCTCATAGTTTCATTAACAATGAACAACTAATGGTTTGATTTAAATTATTTAATAGTTTACTCGATAAAATGTATAATTCAGTGATTAAATTAGAACAACCCAATAATTTGGTGACCCTTTTGTATAGTTGAGATTAATTCTTCAAAATATATCTTTTACCTTAGATTAGATCCCTTTAATTGGAGCAGACAATACGAGGAAAATGAACAAATTTGACAGATTAAAATGGATCCAAATCTATATACCTCAGATCTGCTGTAAACACTTCATGAAATAGACGCATTTTGGAAGAGATGAGAAAATTAAATGGTGACAGATTCATTGTTCTTTTTCTTTTGCTCAAAATACAATACATTGAATCGAATTTACAGGAATGCGGTGCCTGAAAGAATTTTGATCTAATCCATCTAAATTGGAAAAAAAAAAAAAGAGAAATCAGATCTCTTATCTCCTACCCTCTCACATATTTTGATAATCATCTATGCAACAAAACCCCGTCGATGTGATTGATTCCATGTTCCTAACAGAAGAGCTTCCGATAAGAGAAGATGGAGAAGAAAACTGAGAATTGGCCATTGGTAAGGAACAATCATCCCATGTCTTTCTCTTGGTAAAAGATATAGTCCTGGAGCGGAAACAAGCGGAAGAGCAAACGCTACTACCTTTTAAGTTGTGTAAAGCGCAGCTGCAGTTGCGATGGTACGGGCGGCGCTCCACCTCCATTTCTTGCATCGATAAGCTTCCTTCGAGGACGCACCGGAGCACCGTCTCGACCGCAGCTGCTCCAGTGGCCATTTTCGATCTCTCTTCTTTCTTCTCTTTTCTCAACCTCCTTTGGTTACTCGAGAGTTTATATGTGTACGGAGAAAGATGAAGAAGAGAGGAAATGAAGGAGCTGGTTTTAGTTGTTTGGTACTTGGGTCTTTAAATGCTGAGAAAAGAAGATGGCTTATTGGGAATCAGAGAAAAGAACGGCTCGGCTTGTTAGCTTGGTTAGATTCTTAGTAACCCGGAAAAAGAGCAATTATTTGATACACTCAGTTCACTAGTCATTCATAGTTTTTGAATAAGCCTATGTTCACTCTTAGGGGGGAAATGCATATACTCCCTTGATTATGTTGATGCATTCGGTTATAATTTTAGTTTTAAATATTTATAATTTTGTAGTAATTAATTAAATTAAAAATTAAGTTAATAAAATCTATAATATGTTTTGTTTAACTAAAACAGATTCTGAAATTTATTTGCATGAAAACTTATCAAACAGTGGAAAAATAATTACACAATATCATTCAAACATCATAAAATGATCCCTGGATTTGTTTTCCAAAAAATATAATTGGTTTTCTAGAATTCATTTTTCAGAAATTAGTCTATCAAATAGACCCTAGGTTCAGTGAGAAAATTAAAAAGATTTAAAGTGTAATTAGTGAAATAGGAGAGAGAAAAATTAAGTTACCAAATTTATAATTTACCATTTTTACACCTATCAAATGTATCAAATATATCCATCACTTTTAAGAATGATCTTATCATTTCCTTAATTTTAAATAACTTAGTATACGATCAAACTTATATCCTAAAATTTTGTGTATAATCGACTTAAGACAAAAATCATATAATAAAAGAAGTATTAATAATATAAATAGATCACGTCTTTATATATATATATATATATAAAATTTGATAAGATCAAATCGAATCTAGCCGAAACCATCATGCTCAAATAAAGTACACATCTCTAAACGAAGCCGTGGAAAGATGGGGATGTGGCTCCACGGAAGGAGCCGAGGCGAGCTAAAGAGGCGTGGTTGAAGAATAAGGAGGAAGCGGAGGCTGGGTTTTTACATAACTGACACCGTTTGATTTTAATTTTACTTTTCTGACACCGTTTGACTAATATTTCCAGAACTAGCACTCTTTCTGCTGAGTTGGCAAAGGCGCGTCCCCGGGGGCGCGTTTTACCCGTGTTTTTCGCTGAGTTGGATGCCACGTGTGAAAGGCGCGTCCCCGGGGACGCGCCTTTGCCAACTCAGCAGACGCGTATTTTGTTTTATAATAAATAATTTATTTTTATTATTATTATAAATTAATAATATATTATGTAAAATGTTTCGATTATAATGTAAGAATTATCAAGTTTCGAGTATTTTTTATTTTGATTATCGATCTATTAATTTTATCAGTTAATTATTTAAATGTTATTAATCTAGTCATCTCATATCAATATTTAACGAAAATATTGATGCATAAGTTAATAAATTAGTATAATTACATATTTAATCTTCAAGACTTACATATTTTATAAAATTAGTCTTATTGAAAATTTAATTTAATAAATTTAATCCTTCAATCAGAACATGAAATGTGTCATCGTATACATAAATTTTTTAATAACTTTTAATTTGTTTAATTTAATATTTTTCTCTACTTAGAAGGTGGAATTATTATTATATTTAAAAAAAATTATAACTAATAATATTAAATATATAAAATAATTATATTAAATATATTTATGTATTTAAAAGTTAAAAAAAATTATTTAGGTGTACATACATTGACAAATTATATAAATGCAATAACATTAAATTATTAGAAATAAAAACATTCATTTAAAAACTTTAATTACATAAGAGTTAACGGTTATATGATGATAACAGAGCTGGACATTTTTTTCTATTGTGCCCGATGTTTCTACAATGCCCACATCGTTTTTGTTCTGTTGACTTCTCCCGAATATCCATATCACAATGTATTCTAGTAGATTTTGGACGACCTGAGTCCCTCAATAGCAATGGATCTGGTACAATTGTAAGCCAAGTTTGAATCTCATTTGGGTCTCTTTCGTTTCCTATGGGCGGAAACTCAAATTCATATACCTTGAAAACTTGTGAAAGTTGGTATACGGGATCAACATAATTTTGTAGTCCAAATGCGAATGTGAGCAAGCAGCAATGACATGAGAGCATGGATATTTGAGTGCTTGAAAGAAACCACAATCGCACCACCTCTCTTGCAGATTAACTCTGAAAGAGTTAGCTTCAATCCCTTGCAGCGGACGTGGCATTTCGGTTACACGAAACAATTCACGGGTGCGAGAAAAATTTGTAACTAACATCCCATTTGATGTAGCCCCTTTTTTCTGTAAATCGGCTACTAGTCTTGGGTGGTAAATATGTCCGTTTTGCATCCAAGTAAGAGCTTGTCCACCGAGTTTTGCAAAGAGTTGACCCAAACGAAAATAAGTCGTTTTGACCAACGCCGTGACTGGTAAATGACGCGCCCCCTTTAAGGTTGAATTTATTGCTTCAGCCAAGTTTGTTGTCATATGACCATAGCGATACCCCCCGTCATATGCATTTGTCCACATTTCTTTGCTGATGTCCATAATGTACTCGCACCCCTTCTTATTTTTGCCAAACAGCTCTTGTAGCATCGACTCAAACCTTTGAGGTAAGAGTTCGTAACCTAAGCCATTAGGAATATGTAATAGTTAATATGAAGTATAAATAAGTAATAAGAAATTGATAGAAAAATTGGGAAAAAGTAACATACCCATCCGCACGACTAACTGACGTTCATCGTTCTTCTTGTATTTTCCGTAATAGTTTGCAGCAATATGACGGACACAATAACGATGTTGAACATGTGGAGGTCTATACATTGTACCCAAAGAGTCCATTGCTGCTTTTATCCCGGCTCCTCGGTCTGAAATAATGCATAGTCGTTCCCTGGTGACAACATGTAAACGTAAATTTTTAAGGAAAAAAGCCCAAGACTCAGTGTCTTCTCCTTGAACGAGGGCAAACGCAACAGGAAGAAT